CTTATCAGTGGCGGTCGGGGACGAGCGATGGTCTTTTCCTACCAATCTATCCCCCTAGGATCAAGCGCGTAGTACTTGATTTTTGATGACTTCTAAATTTTTGCAATAAGTATATGAGTTCTTTTGACTAATGTTGAGTCCATGGATTATACGCACTCTCATTCCACCTTTGCTAGCCTCTTCGATACCGTGCATTGCCCTTTCTCACCTTGAGAGTTGGTGCAAACTTTGCCGGTGCATCCAAACCCCGTGATACGATATGCTCTATCACACATAAACCTCCTTATATCTTCCTCAAAACAGCCACCATACCTACCCATTATGGCATTTCCATAGCCATTCCGAGATATATTGCCATGCAACTTCCACCATCATCATCATGACATACATTACTTTTGTCATATTGCCATTGCATGATCATGTAGTTGACATCGTATTTGTGGTAAAGCCACCATGCATTATTTTCCATACATGTCACTCTTGATTCATTGCACCATCCCGGTACACCGCCGGAGGCATTCATATAGAGTCATATCTTGTTCTAAGTTTCGAGTTGTAATCCTTTTGTTGTAATCAATAGAAGTGTGATGATCATCATTATTAGAGCATTGCCCAAATAAATAAATAAATAAGAGAAAGGCCAAAGAAAAAAAAGGCCTAAAAAAGAAAAGAAAAAGGGCAATGCTACTATCTCTTTTTCCACACTTGTGCTTCAATGTAGCACCTTGTTCTTCATGTAGTAAGTCTCATATATTGTGCTTCAAAGTAGCACCTTGTTCCTCATGTAGTGAGTCTCATAAAGTTGTCCTTTTCATACTAGTGGGACTTTTTCATTATAGAACTTGGCTTGTATATTCCTACAATGGGCTTCCTCAAATGCCCTAGGTCTTCGTGCACAAGCGAGTTGGATGCACACCCACTAGTTTTTTTGTTGAGCATTCATAGCTCTCGTGCATCTGTTGCATGGCAATCCCTACTCCTCATGTTGACATCAATTGATGGGCATCTCCATAGCCCGTTGATTAGCCTCGTCAATGTGAGACTTTCTCCTTTTTTGTCTTCTCCACACAATCCCCATCATCATATTCTATTCCACCCATAGTGCTATATCCATGGCTCACGCTCATGTATTGCGTGAAGGTTGAAAAAGTTTGAGATTATTTAAGTATGAAACAATTGCTTGGCTTGTCATTGGGGGTATAGAAGTTGGGAACATCTTTGTGTGACGAAAATGAAGCATAGCCTAACTATATGATTTTGTAGGGATGAACTTTCTTTTGCCATGTTATTTTGAGAAGACATGATTGCTTTGATTAGTATGCTTGAAGTATTATTATTTTTGTGTCAATATGAACTTTTGTCCTGAATCTTTCGGATCTGAATATTCATATCACAATTAAGAAGATTTACATTGAAATTATGCCAAAGTATCACTCCGCATCAAAAATTCTTTTTTATCATTTACCTACTCGAGGACGAGCAGGAATTAAGCTTGGGGATGCCTGATACGTCTCCAACGTATCTATAATTTTTGATTGCTCCATGCTACTTTACCTACTGTTTTGGACTATATTGGGCTTTATTTTCCACTTTTATATTATTTTGGGGACTAACCTATTAACCGGAGGCCCAGCCCAGAATTGTTGTTTTTTGCCTACTTCGGTGTTTCGAAGAAACAGAATATCAAACGGATTCCAAACGGAATGAAACCTTCGGGATCGTGATTTTCCAACCGAACATGATCCAGGAGACTTGGACCCTACTCCAAGAAGTGTCAGAGGCGGTCACAAGGGTGGAGGGCGCGCCCCCTGGGCGCGCCCCCTACCTCGTGGGCCCCCTGACGCTCCACCGACGTACTCCTTCCTCCTATATATACCTACGTATCCCCGAAAGATCAGAACAGGAGCCAAAAACCTAATTCCACCGCCGCAACCTTCTGTATCCACGAGATCCCATCTTGGGGCCTGTTCCGGAGCTCCGCCGGAGGGGGCATCCACCACGGAGGGCTTCTACATCATCACCATAGCCCCTCCGATGAAGTGTGAGTAGTTTACTTCAGACCTTCGGGTCCATAGCTAGTAGCTAGATGGCTTCTTCTCTCTTTTTGGATCTCAATACAATGTTCTCCCCCTCTCTCGTGGAGATCTATTCGATGTAATCTTCTTTTTGCAGTGTGTTTGTTGAGACCGATGAATTGTCGGTTTATGATCCAGTATTATCTATGGAAAATATTTGATTCTTCTCTGAATTCTTTTATGTATGATCGAGCTATCTTTGCAAGTCTCTTTGAATTATCATTTTTGGTTTGGCCAACTAGATTGGTAGTTCTTGCAATGGGAGAAGTGCTTAGCTTTGGGTTCAATCTTGCGGTGTCCTTACCCAGTGACAGAAGGGGCTGCAAGGCACGTATTGTATTGTTTCCATCGAGGATAACAAGATGGGGTTTTTATCATATTGCATGAATTTATCCCTCTACATCATGTCATCTTGCTTAAGGTGTTACTCTGTTTTTAACTTAATACTCTAGATGCATGCTGGATAGCGGTCGATGAGTGGAGTAATAGTAGTAGATGCAGAATCGTTTCGATCTACTTGTTTTGGACGTGATGCCTATATACTCATAACTATGCTCAATTCTGTTAATTGCTCAACAGTAATTTGTTCACCCACCGTAGAATACTTATGCTCTTGAGAGAAGCCACTAGTGAAACCTATGGCCCCCGGGTCTATTCTCATCATATCAATCTCCATCACTTTATTTACTTGCTTTGTTTTTACTTTGCCTTTTACTTTTTACTTTGCATCTATCTATCAAAAATACCAAAAATATTATCTCTATCGGATCTCACTCTCGTAAGTGACCGTGAAGGGATTGACAACCCCTAAGCGTTGGTTGCGAGTTGCTATCGTTTTGTGTAGGTACGAGGGACTTGTGCGTGGTCTCCTACTGGATTGATACCTTGGTTCTCAAAAACTGAGAGAAATACTTACGCTACTTTGCAGCATCATCCTCTCCTCTTCGGGGAAATCCAACGCGGTGCTCAAGAGGTAGCAGCAATCTCAAAAAAATCCTACGTTCACGCAAGATCTATTTAGGAGATGCATATCAACGAGAGGGGGAGAGTGTGTCCACGTACCCTCGTAGACCAAAAGCGGAAGCGTTAACTTAACGCGGTTGATGTAGTCGAACGTCTTCTCGAATCAATCGATCAAGTATCGAACGTACGGCACTTCCGAGTTCTGCACACGTTTAGCTCGATGACGTCCCTCGAACTCTTGATCCAGTAGAGGCACGAAGGAGTCGATGAGTTCCGTCAGCACGATGGCGTGATGACAGTGTTGGTGATGTGATCCGCGCAGGGCTCGCCTAAGTACTACGGCAATATGACCGGAGGAGTAAACGGTAGAGGGGGACACCGCACATGGCTAAAAAATAATTGTTGTGCTTTGGGGTGCCCTCTTGCCCCCGTATATAAAGGAGGAGAGGGGAGGCCGCCGGCCCTAGGGGGCGCGCTAAGTGGGGGGGAGTCCCACTAGGACTCCCAGTCCTAGTCGGCTCTCCCCCTTCCTTCCAACGGAGGGGGAAAAGGGAAAGAGAGGGAGAGGGAGAGGGAAAGGTGGGTCGCGCCCCCTCCCCTAGTCCAATTCAGACTCCCCATGGGGGGGGCGCCACCACCTCGTGGCCTGCCTCTCCACTCCCCCATGGCCCAATAAGGCCCATTACTTCCCTGGGGGGTTCCTGTAAGCCCTCGAGGGAGGAGCGACAATGTTTAAACAGTTCACCCAATTCCATCATGACATGCGTGATCGGGAAATTCACGTGCAACTGCAAAATGATTTGGTTGAGTATATGTGGGCTCATGTTGGCAATCAATAGATGTATCTTCTTTATTCGGCTTGCAAAATTATGTGAAACATTTCTACTTGTATTCGGCTTGTAAAACTATGCTATTTTATTCAGTTGAAACCATGTTATTTGACTATATGTTTGAATGCAAAAGCAATGCAAAAATGAGCTATTTGTTGAAATAGGGCGGCCAGCCGGCCACGCGGGTAAATATGGATCAGTGCGACCCAAATTTTAAACAGGGCGGACGCCGGGCGGGTGGCCGGCCTAAATGGACAAAAAACGGACAAAATCGCCGTCCATTTGGGTCGGCCCAAAGTTGCTCTTAGATCATGCAAAAAAAAAATCAACTTGAGTCCCCCGCGATCAAACACGGTGATTTGGCCAAGAATGGCGCATCCTGCCTCCATTTGATTGCGTACCCATGGGATCCAGCGCAGCGCAGACAGATTCATGGGATGCCGCCGGTCAGCTGCAGGCACGGACGATCGATCAAGGCCAAATCAAACCGTGGAGAGATAAGATGGTCGGAAGAAACAAGTATACAGTAGTAGAGTAGTACCGCTGGAAAGCGCGTGCATGGCGCTTTCGAGCCGCTTTGTCCCCGTCTCTTCAGTTTGGCCCCTTCTGGTATAAAATTCAACGGGAAATATCTATAGGGCCCGACAACCTCCCATCCGCTAGTCACCCTCTTTTGTTTTTGAGAAAGCCCCAGCCGTTGGTGCAGTTGACTGACTTGGAACCGGCAACGCGCGTCGCGCGGTTGGTGCTAAATGCGGAATAGTAGTTTAGTCCCTTGTGTTTCTTCTAGCGAACCCTTCAAAGCAAGACCAATATGGGGATAGTTTCTACTCCTACTTTGTTAATCGATTTCTTTGTTTTACCTTCAGCACAGAACTCCTATAAATAAATGTCAAATCGAGGGTTAGCTTTTGGGTTGGTCTCATTTTTATAAAGGCGAGCTGTTCCTAAATGTGCGGATAATCGTGTCTTGCATGTTCCAAAAAGAAAATTTGGCTTCTCAAAGAAATGGATCAGTTGATCCTAAAGAAAATAGATCAGTTGCAATTGCAACGCAATGAACCAAAGTACTATAGCACACTAAAAAGTAAAAGTCGATCAGCAAATGTGTACCCTGTGCATGGAACAGATCCTAGCGCTGCCACGCAGCTTCTCCATTCACCTCGATGGATTTCAACGACGGCGGCCTGGCGACCTCCCGGAACTCACGGAAGTCGCCGCAGTCCGATATCTGCAGTTTCTCCAGGGACTGCAAGTTCTGGAACAACACCCCCAGGAGGCTGTTCGTCACGACGCATCGGCTCAGCGAGAGGCTCCGCACTGAAGAGAGGAGCTTGACGTTCACGTCCGTCGACTCCCCTGCGTACTTGCTGATGCTCAAGGCGCTGACCGCCAGCGCGTGATCTCGGTGCAGCAAGTCCTGGTGCAGCAGCTGGACGGCCTCCCCGTGGACGTCCAGCGTGAAGGAGCTGGATTTGGGGGAGAAGGCCATGTCCAGGTAGTAGGAGCTGCTGTCCTTCTCTATCCTCATCTTCTTCACGGTGGCCGGCACACGGGGCAGCTTCGCCAGTTTGGGGCAGTTGAGGATGAGTATCTCCTGGAGGCGAGGAAACGCGCGGTCGCTCGATTCGGCGCTCCACTCCACCAAACTGGGCATGTCATTCAGCACCAGTTTCTCAAGCGACTGGAGCACGCCGGAGCCGTACAACCTGTGGTCGATCCGAGCAATGGCGTACATTTCTTTGATGTGCAGGACTCTGAGGTCAGGAAGCTGGCTCAGGCATGGCAGCACCCGCCACTTCCTGCAGTTTACGAGATGCAGGTGGCTCAGGCTCGTCAGCAGGTTGCTCTCCAGCCAGCTAGGCGACGATGCGCCCTGGTACCTCTGGATTTGCAGCTCCTCGATCCTACCGTTAGGCTGGAGCCCCTCGAGAACTTGCTCATGTGAGTCCGTGGTGGTGGAACAAGTTCGCCGGTCCCCCAGCTTTGGGGGCTCCCATTCCAGCTTCAGGGCCTTGAGAGATTCTTTATTCCCAAGCTGAGCCTTCTGAGCTTCTTCTTTGTTAGCGACGGCCTGAAGCCCCTTCACGGTGAGCGTGCCGCGGATGGAGTGGATGCCTGCGAGCTCTTCCATGCCATGCCCCCTTCCCCTGTCGGCGCAGAACTCTACTGATCCCTGGAGTTTCTCCAGCCTCCCGATGCGACGTATCATGGCAACGTACTTCATGTCCATGTCGAGATGCCGCAGGTTCACCAAGTTGCTCATGCCATCACCCGGGAACCCATGGTCCCCATCAAGCTTGCAGTCTTTGCCGAGAGACAGTGTCTGCAGGTGCAGCAGCTTGGTAACAGTAGCAGGAAGGCCCCTGACAGAGTCAGGCAGGCCTAGGTACCGCAGATGCTTCAGCTTACCGACGCCTTTCGGCAACTCGGTGATGCGTGTGCCGGCAAAGTCGAGCACTCTAACGGCCTTGAGCTGCTTCAGTACATGGTTGTCAATGGCGGAAACAGCAGTGCCCGAGCTTGAGTGGCCATCATCGAAGATTAACAGTGTCCGCAGCTTCTTCAGCACAGGGTTATCCTTGAGCTGTGCTAGGGCAAGGCAACCTCCGCCGGTCAGGGATAGGTGTCGAACACTTGCCGGGATGCTACCCCTTCTTCTTACAAGATCATCGTTGCTTAATCTGAAGAACCCGGCCGCGCAGACTGACACCTGCTCATTGATGGCAAAGCAGGTCGCTCTGCCATCCCTGTATATGGTTTTGAGCACGGACCTTTCCTGCAGCGCTCTGACGTATTCTCTCCCGACATCCTCCATGCTCTGGGCGTGGTCACCGCGGATGATGCCATGTGCAATCCACATCTTGACCAACGTTTCAGGCTCGAACTCCCATTTGTCGGGGAACATGCTGCAAAATTTCAAGCAAGACCGCAGGCTGGACTCGTAGGCGGCGCCAGCAAGAGGAGCCTCACCGGCGTACCATGATCCTACCTTCTCCAATAGTTTCTTCCAGTCTTTCTTCCGTTGTTTGTTCCTCACCATGCCGACGATAGTTTTCGCCGCCGATGGCGAGCCCCTCAGCTGCTCCGCGACACTCCTGATCACACCGTCGAGAACCGGAGTTTCTTTATGGGCGTCACCGAAGGCGGTTTTCTTGAGCACCAGGACGAGGTCGTCGGCGCCGAGCCCATTCAGCGGGATCCTGGTGCCGGCATCGAGCACCTTGGCGCAGATGGTAGCTCGGCACGTCATCAGGATCCTGCTCCCGTTGCCTCCGTCCCGGAACGGGGCTAATACGTCCTCCCAAGTTGTCCTCATCTTCTCCGTCCAGTCACGGCCGGACTCGTCGTTGCACACGTCGTCGAGCACGAGCAGGCACCTCCTGGAGCCGACCAGCCCGCGGATCGCCTGCTGTAGCACGCCGAAGCTCATCCCCGCGGCGGCGCATTTCTCGTCGACGCCGCTTGATCCGGGGATGGACCTCCATATCTCGGCCAGCAGCTCGGTCTCGGTGAACATGCATCGAACGCTCGCCCACACCATCAGATCGAAGTGCTTGTTGTTGTCCCCGTTGATTCTCTTGTCATGCCATGCCCGCCGAGCGATCATGGTCTTCCCGATGCCGCTGTGGCCGATGACCGCCACGACATTCTTGTTGCTGCTGCTGCTACTGGGCTGGTCGCTGACGTTGTTGAGCAGGGCCGAGACGAGCCGGCCATACTCCTGCTCGTACCCCACGAACAGTTCTTGGCCCGTCGCCCCCGGTAGCAGCGGGCCAGTCGCCTTTCGTGACACGGAGCGCGAGTATCCTCGGCCTCGGCCCCGGCTGCCGCCGGAGTCGATCCGCGGCAGCTGGGCGAGATCCCGCAAGCTCTGCTGGATAAGCGGAAGCTCGTCCAGGAGTTTCTTGAGCCGGTTGAACGCCTTGTCCCTGCCGATCAGCCGTCGGCCGGCTCTGGCCGCGGAGTGAGCAACCTGAGCAAGCTTGTTGTCGCGCAAGTTGGACATGACGATGTCGTCGTAGGTGAAGACGTCCAGGACGGACTCCACATCGTGGATGGCGTCGACCAGCCGGCCCACCCAGCTAGCCATCCCGCCGCCGGCGGAGACGTCCTCGTCGGAGCGCCGCCGTTGAGCCTGCTGCTGGACGGCCTCGATGGTCGTGGTCATCTGGTCCAGGACATCAACAAGCTGTTCGAGGTGCTTGGCCAGATGTTTGAAGCTCGAGTACTTGCTGCTCACCAAGGATCTGGCCTCGCCGATGAGCTCCTTGATGATCGGCGAGAATACCCACCCACCAACCACCAGCAGCGTGCCGGCCGGCATGGCTACGCACTCTGCTGATGCCTTGACGACAAAGCCGTGCCGGCCCAAGGATCGATCGAACCTGGCTAGCTAGCTATAGGCTTGCCCGACGTGATTTAAGTAGCTACTCTAACTGCTAACTTATTTAATCAAGAGACCACTCATGCGGGGGAATGAAGCTGAGCTAGCGGAGAAGGGATTTTGCGCGGTTTACGCGTGCGTACCGCGGGATCGTGCCCGTCCGTTGGTTTTGAAGTCACCGCTCGGTCAGGCCGGCACCAGGTGCATCTATCAATAGCTTTTGGCCCATTATTAGATGTAAAAATGCAACGGGTCAGATTTCGCCATACGTCGGACTACAAGATGTTTACCCGCACTTCACATCGCATTCTCCCATCAATAAATTTTTGTGTTTAATTTTTTGACCCAAACACAAAGGAAAATGGTCATATATTTTGAACCAAATGTTCAGTTTTGAATTTGTTTTCATTTTCAACTTTGTCTTGATGAGATCTTTGAAACAAGATCCATGTCGAAAATGTTTTTTGATTATTGTTATTTTGCTTTTTGAAACTTCACTTGAGATTTAGTTTAAGCAAGTGCATGAACATATAAATGTTACAGTTACTTTTGAAAATAATAATAGTAATAAATTTGAAAAATATACTCAACATTGATCTTGTTTTGAACATGTTGTCAAAACAAAAAAGGTGGTAAAAGAAAAAACAAATTAAATTCAGAGGAATGATTCAACATATATGACTATATTTATGTTTGAAGAAAGTACGTAATAAATACATCCTCCGTCCCAAAGTAAGTGACTCAACTTTGTGAGACTCAGGGGGTGTTTGGTTTCAGGGACTTTTTTGTGTTGGGACTAAAAAAAGTTCCTAGCAAACCAAACAGGGGGGACCTCTTTAAGACTTTTTGCTTTTTTTTTGAAGCACCTTCTTGAGAGTTTTTTTTCAAAAAGTCCTAAGGACTAGAAAAAGTCCTAGGACTAGAAAACCAAACACCACCTCAATGATGGGAGAGGAAAGAGTGGAGTGAGGGTTCTTTTGTTTTTGACATAGTATATGAGGCCCTTTTTTGCAAATGTTGAGCACCATATAGCAGGATTGGTAGGGAGGCCTCGTCGTAATCTGTGGCGCTCGTGGTATCCACCATCGCCACGCTTTGTGTTCGCTGTCATCGCGCAGGGCTGTAAAGTCCTGTTGGGGACGGCCGACTCATAAAAAATGCTTCATTTTACACATCACTTAAGCACTACTGACATGGATATTAGCCTTAAATCAGAGACAATCAGAGATGTTAGGGGGGTCAGGCCCCTGCTGGTCCCCACTGTCTCTGCCACTACATGTGCCACACTCGGCAGCTCATGTGTCTCGGCGGCTACAGGGCCAGGCCAGGCGTCACTGCAGGCCACGGAGCGGCACTGCAGCCATGCATCAGCGGGAAGGGCAGGCCACGGAGCAATCAGGCAGAGCATGAGCCGATCGCTTCGTCCAGCCGTGGGAGCCGTTCCCAGGAATTTCGCGCTGCAGCAGATCGCGCGCGCCCTCACACGGAGAAGACGCTGTTTCCCCTAATCCTATGCCATGTCGCACCGATTTCCCCGTTGTTTCTTGGCAAGTTAACTGTCACCGGGAAAACCTCTGTGAGCTACTAGCTCCCGATCATCCACCGTGCATCTATATATCGATCTTGGCCACTTGAGGAGACACAGAGGTGAAGAATATTTCTTGGCCAGTGGGCATCCACCGTGCGTCTATCGATCAGGTCAGCTGGCCGCGATAGCAGTAGCGAAAGCTCGAAGCAGGTGGCGGCCGGCGGCTGGGCGCGTTCAACACCCCAAGTGGCATTTAATCTATCAATCAATCACACATCAGGCAGCTAATATGGTTAATTTGCGCGCTCTTTTCGTTAGAACCAAAAGGAGCTCTACGCGTGAGACCGTGGCTAAGGCAACGGGGTGATAAAAAGGCAGTCTATAGCTACAAAATGGTGGGAGGAAAAGAACAAAACCGGATCGTCTAAAAGTCTACGGAGGGATGAGCAAAGGGGGTTATATGCCTATGTATATTAGTTTAGGCTTTGGGATGCCGCTTGGAGCAATCACTTGGATTTCCCTTTTTCTTTTTAGATTTTTTGCGGGTGACTAAGCAATCACATGGAAGTTGCCTGTCATTACTAGCTTATGATTAAACTTTATTTCTTTTTGCGGGTATGATCAAACTTGATTACTTTTGGAGGTTATGATTAAACTTGATTACTAGTGTCTTCTAAACTAACTTTATATATAGTTTGTGGGCATGTGGCTGCATAGTTGCCTTGAAAAATAGAAATATGCGAGTTGCCTATATATAATAATGATAAAACTAGACAGAGGAAAAGGATTAGGCAGCCCTGACACCAAAGCCAACCTACATAGGAGTACTTAGTACTAGTAGACAGTAGTATATTTGACTGCATGCAAGACGCGTCGACTAGTTCACCAACGACCACGAGGGAGGGAACATGATTAATTGTTGTTGCGAGCAGAGACACTATACATACAGATGCACATTGACAAAGACATGACACCAACACCAAAGATAATTGTCCATATGGAGCACAGAAACTAAGAAGAAATCCCTCTTGGTCGAGTCATCAGACTGTAAAGTGAGATGAGCTTGACGATAACGTATACTTCCGGGCGGCAAAGCAATCATAGATAGCAGCAGCATATATTTCTCTCTTTACTTTCTCTTTGCGTTTGCGAGGATAGCAACGTATGTGTCGTCCAACATGCGCCTATACTAACGAAAAATCTTCCAAAACAGATGCAAGCGCGAACGGACGGACGGACGAAGCTGCCTCCGGCGTGGCGTGTGTCAAGTCAAGTGTGAACACCGAGCCGCGCGTCCGCACTGCAGCAGCCGAGAAGTTTCCAAAGCCATGCATATAACCATCCATCTTCTCTTCTCACGGTGCTGCTGTCCACAATAAACCGGAGAGCAGAGGATGCATGCGATAGCTACAGGCGTGCCCCAACCGATCCGTCCACCATCCATCCCGGTCCCGGCCGCGTCCCAAGACCTGGCTGGCTTCAGCGCGTGGAAATTTAAATAATATATGTCCACGTGTCGGTCCAGCGCAGGGCGGGCATGGAGGATTCTGTGCTCCCAGCCGACGTGTTCTCACCATTTTTGAAAATCTCGCAGGTACTCCATCCGATCGGAATTACTTGTCGCAAAAATGAATGTATCTAGACGTATTTTAGTTCTAGATACATCTATTTTCAAGACAAGTAATTCCGAACGGAGGGAGTAGTTTCTAGAGTTCCTACCCGTCCGTTGTTGGAATATTCGGCAAATTTATGATTAATTTTAATAAATAATTCATGACTGTAACAGAAATTAGCATGCAACAATCTGCCATACTATGTGAAGGAAAAAAATGCACAGAAGCATCGAACATGAAACATCAACTCTAAATAGAGATTCCCCTAAAAAAACTACAGATAGATACATGAACAGATCAGGATGGACGTACTGTTTGTTAAATGCTGTAGGAGCGACGGTGTTGACGACGATGTTAGCAATAATTTGTTGTTGACGGCGATGGAGGCTACGGTATTGATGACAATGTTAGCGATAATTTGTTGTTGACGACGACGGAGGTGACGATGAGTAGCACCGCCCAACTTGAACGAAAGACGACCCGTGATGACAAACTTGAGCAGTCGCGCACAACGTTTCCCAACAACCTAATTCGTCCTCTCCGGATGCAGGATCGCAAGGACGAGCGGTTTCGGAGACTTGCTCTCCCGCACGCCGATGCACTCCGGCGTTCGGGATAGAGTAGACTACGGTGATGACACAAGTTGCGAGATGAGGCAAAATCCTAGATGTTTTTTATGTATCTTTGGCGGCGGCCGGTAGCAGTATATATAATAAGACCAGAGGCGGTATCGTGTTGCGATCACGGTCTCGAACCGACCTACTTATCTAAAAAGACATCAAAAAATAAAACAGCAAAAGAAAGTTGCGCCCCTATAAGGCAACGGACTGGATTTCGGCGGAGCATTCACCCGCATGTCGCCCGCCTCGAGCCCGGCCAAGAGAGACGGACGAGCACGTGTGTGGTCTTCTATTTCTTTCCTTCACACCCCACTAAATGTGGTTTACATAACCAACCATATAAAGAGACCCAAGACTTACTCAACTAGCGATATGGGACTAAACTTTAGCATACCACTTGCCATTTTTCTCATGGGCTAAGCCCAATTATTTCTAATTCATGTAGTGACCTAAAAAGTCTTATATTTCTTTTTTTTTCTTCTTAAAAGTCTTATATTTCTTTACCGAGAGAGTATTTGCACATGTTAGTAGATCATAAAAATGGCTAGTCCCTCGACCGTTCACACATATAAGATGTTTTAGCTTTTTTCTGTTTCGAATGTATATAAACACATTTTAATGTGTTTGTTTTTTCATTTCAATCCATATGTTTCATATTGAAATATCCAAAACATCTTATATTTGTGAATGGAGGGAGTACTTTCTAGCGATTAACAGTAAGGTCTTCTAATCTAAACAGTCAATCCCAACTTTCTTGAAATGAAAAATAAAACAAAACAAATAAACACGGGATCAAAGGATCCTCTGAACCTGGAGTAGTGGGCCAATCATTTGTAGCTTTCAGCCGTGAGAGTGAAGACAAAAATACAGTTAAAATCATGCAATTATGGGACAGATGCGAAGCTTTTGACATAAATCCAGTGACATGTATCAAGTTTTTCAACACTCAGCATCCTGCAGGTCTCATATGTAATATGTTAACCAGAAGACTGAAGACAGGTAGTATGTACTTACTATATATGTATGCATGTCCACTGGCTGACTGACCACTACAGACACCGTTCATTTAACCCCACCAAACATACGAACCAGAGCTGGGATATTCTGTGGAGAAAATTTCCTAGTCAGTACAGAAAAACGTATTTAATTCCATTTCAGGCGTGCCAACATGATAGGTAT